TTATTTAGAAGGCCAAGGTACTGTTATCTGTGTATGTTTAGGTTCAGTTGGAGAACAGATCTAGTTGGTATCACTTATTCTCTATGTTGTAAAGAAAACTATAAAGTGGCCTGAGCCCCATGAAGTCTAGGAGTTTGATATAGAGTATAGCAGAAGAGAGAGAGGAGGTGCTCTGGAAACTCCACAGGTTGGAGCTCTTGGGATGGGAAAGGGAATATGTTGGGTTCTATGTGTTATGCTTTTGTTGTCTTGTCAGTGTGTTTGTATTGTGGTTCACATCATCACCTTCCCTCTGAGCTTCTATTAGTCATAAAAAGACTGTGTAGGCCAGGTGTATTCTCCATCTTACTCCACTGGAAGTAGAGGCGTGGCTCTTCTCATTAGGAAACAGTTAGCTGTTCCCATTGAGACAGTCTGACCCAAACGGATGCTATGTGTTGATCCAAGATTATTTCCAGAGATAAAATATTGTTATATTGAATATAACCAGCAATAACTGTTTATAACACACACACTGTAAAAGAAAATCTGCTTGTTTTATTTCACAGATTATTTCTGTATTTTTAAATACATGGAAATATTAATAATTTACATGTATGTGTTTGTTAACTGACAGATATCTTGGATAATTATGGAAGTTGAATAAATGTTGTTTATCAGTGTATAAGCATTGGTAAACTGTACCAATGCAATAATAACAGCAATAATTACTGTAATTTCACAGATAATGACTTTTATTACAGTTCTATAACTTTTAACATCCAGACTAAAATTTTAAATAAATAAATAAAATAGCAGTCTTGTAAAATAATTAGTATTATAGCAGTGTTCACCTGTATTTATAGCTCATTGCATTGTTTTTACATGTAATATTTATGTAAAATTCAATCTAAAATCTGTATTTTAATTACAGACTGTATTTTTAAGAGTCTGAACCATCTTGAGGAGGTGTTTCAGGCCCTCGGTGGTTACGGCCTCAAGCTTCAGAAGGAAGTTCCTGGGACACAAAGTCAGCACCCGAGGAGCCGCTCCTGACCCAGAGAAAGTGACAGCTGTATAAAACTGGTTGGAGAGGTCAAATAATTGATTTTTAAACATTGCAAATGACTTAGAGAATACATATTTAATAAGCACAGAACTGCAGTTCTACCTAAAACATTCGACTGGACAGGTAAAAACAATGGATGCTTTCAGTTTCATTTTGTCTCAGTAGTTACCACAGTCAGCCTCTAGAGGGCAGTATAGGGATCACATGTGGAACAGCAGACTTTAAACCTGTAACTATAAAGCTAAAACTCAAAGCTACAAGCAGCAATGGTCGGACCCTCGCTGCCCACACACATCAGGGTTTGCTGCACCAGTGTATCATGTGTGGACCACACCATGAACATCTCATGTAAATCAGATCAAGATCAGCACACAAAGCTTACTTCCTGTTTAGTATGTGGCGCTATGAGTATGACTGCGTGTGTGTGTGTGTGTGTGTGTGTGTGTGTGTGTGTGTGTGTGTGTGTGTGTGTGTGTGTTCAGGGTGTGACTCCTGTCAAACATTGACAGTTTCACTGAGGTTGGACAACTTCTTGTTTCATGGCGAAAGGTCGAAGTTCAACACCACGGGCCCCGCCGTTTAACGTCCTTCAGGTCCAGTGTGTCTGTCACTGCTCTACTCTCCAGTGAAAGCTGCTCAGTCGATTTCTTTCCATTCCAACGGCTGCTTCTCTGGAAACAGTTTAAAGTGAAACTAAAGTTTTCTCCTCACAGTGTCGGCAGATTATCAGGAGGAGGAAAGTGACAACTGGCTGTGAACTGAATGTGTTTTTCAAGTGTTCGTTTAGTGAGAAGCAGATTAATGAGGACTTTGTGGTTGTTGTAGTTTTTACAGAAGATGAAGATGTTTGTGGTGTTTGTGATCCTCGTGCACGGTAAGATAACCTTCCTCCCTCTGATCTGATCATTAGTCCAACATCGTGTCTTTAATCTGTATTTCTATCATCTTCACTTCATTAGTCTGTTTAAACTCCAATAAAAACATGAAAAACATATTAAAGGCAGCATATTTTCAATGTTTGTGTAAATCATGATGAATGTAGAAGACTGTACAGTCAGACTGTCCTCAGTTCTGTTCTTCAGGATTATATCTCTGGAGGTTGTTCACATTCTTATAGCTTATATTACCAATAGTATTAATGATCCTAACACTCATTTAAACACCATGTTGGATCAATACAGTCAGTCTATCAGTTTGTTCTGTTATTGAGATTGAGGATCCAGGAGCAATAAAACCTGAAATAAGGCTGCTGTGATTGAACCTCTCTGTCTGTGTGACCTCACAGTTTCCCAGCATGCCTCAGCTGTGGGAGCTGTATGAGGGGAGGAGTTTGTCCAACTGCGCTGTGAGTTTCAAACTTATGAAATCCGTTACCCCCACAGTGGTGTGGAGCCGCTACGATCTCAATCCTCCAACAGTCCATGAGCGTCAGCCGGTAGGTGATGAACTTAAAGACCAAAACCAGCTTTACAGCGGTCGAACATTCATGATGGCTGACGCTCTGGAAACTGGAGACCTCAGCCTCAATCTGACAAAACTCCACCTGTCTGACAGCGGCAACTACACCTGCACCGTCAGATCATTTCAGGGAGAATGGAAAGTGAGAAACATACAGCTGCAAGTCAAAGGTCAGCAACAAACCCCTAAAACCTACTCTAGATTTTCAAACTGGAGGAGCGGTTGCAAAGCTTTCTTTACTTTATGGTGTGTAAGAAAACTAAATGAAAATATACACAGTAGGTCTATATCTCAATATTTGGCTCACTTATCTGAAGAAAAGTAAATAATATTTTTTAAGTTAATTGTTTCATAGTACAATGGCCAAGCATCAGCGACAAAAAAACAATGAATTTGTCAGAAAAGACGCCTATTAAGTTGTATGATTGTTAAAAAAATACATAATACAGACATAGAATTGTTTAAAAAGTTAAAAGGAAATAATCTGCTAAAAATTAATTAAAATCTTACTTTTACACAAGCTTCTTGCAGTGACTGAGTTCACTGTTTGGCTAAATTGTACAGTTTTGAATAAAATATGTCACAGTCAGGGGTTGTCAGTTTACTAAATTATAGAAAAGGGGTCCCTCAAGATAAAAAGACTGGGAGCCACAGCTCTAGATATAGGTCTGTCGAAAGAAGTCAGAAGTGCTGTAGATACGGGTCAGAGGTCAGTTTCTAGTTTACAAACAATTAGAGGACATTAACTTTGTTACAGTCCTTCAACATCTGAACATCATTTAGTACAAGATGGACACAGATGATCCCAAACACTCAGGGTGTGTCTCATCTGTATGAATGTCTCCACATGTCCATCAGTCCTGTCTTCTCCTGAGTATCAGTAGCTCCCACTGAAGACGTGATGGAGAGATAGAAGGAAAGATGTGAGGAAAGAGGAGTTCAGACAGTTAACACACTCATTTAAACACCATGTTGAATCAATGAAGTCAGTCTATCAGTTTGTTCTGTTATTTGTCTTATTGATATTAAACTGTGCTCATGTGGTTTTCAAAGCAGTCTGTTCAGCTGCAGAGTCCGATCACAAACAGGACCAGATTGAGGATCCAGGAGCAATAAGATCTGAAATAAGGCTGCTGTGATTGAACCTCTCTGTCTGTGTGACCTCACAGTTTCCCAGCATGCCTCAGTTGTGGAGCTGTATGAGGGGGATGAGTTTGTCCTGCTGCCCTGTGAGTATCACACATTCGATGTGGACAACCCCACAGTGGTGTGGAGCCGCTACGATCTCAATCCTCCAACCGTCCACCAGCGTCAGCAGGAAGGTGATGAACTTAAAGACCAAAAACCAGCTTTACAGTGGCCGAACATCCATGATGGCTGACGCTCTGGAAACTGGAGACCTCAGCCTCAAGCTGACAAAACTCCGCCTCTCTGACAGCGGCACCTACACCTGCACCGCCAGAGCATTAGGAGGACAACGGAGAGTGACAGACATACAGCTGCAGGTCAAAGGTCAGCAACAAACCCTAAAACAGAGGTCAGTACTGTCGATACAGGTCATAGGTCAGAAGTCATGTTCTTAATGTTTCTATTCCCCACAGAACAATTTCCATCTTGGGCCAAAGGTCTCCTGGTTTTCCTGGTTCTCCTGGTTCTTGGTCTTATTGTTGGGGGTCTTTTGGTGCATTTTCGGCAGTATTTCAAGTCAGGTATGTTACTACTACACTACCCATAATCCTGATGGTTACCATCTTTACTCTCGTATCTTTGTGACTGTTGAGCAAGTTTTCATAGAAGTATAGGACATTGAGGGAGACTATAAACCAAAGGTCACACTGCCTACTCGAGCAGTGTGTGGTGGAATCTTGCTCATATGTTAACAGAGCTTTTTGTATTGGTATTTATCAAAGGCAAATTCAGTATAGAAAAATAGGGCTGGCAGGAGCCGCCATGCAGCTGACACGCTGTCGGTGTAAACATCATGCGCTGGTCGCACTCAGCTAGGCAATGTAAACCTAGGGTAAGATAATGGTGCTTTCCATTTGTCTCGTAAACCCCCAACCCGAGTTGGAAAGTGTAAATCTCGCAGCTATCTTGCGACATTTCACCGAGACACACCCCTATTGGTCATAATTTCAGCCGTTCAGCTCGGGGTGCCTCACAGTACACCGAGCTAAACGAGGGGGCACATACGACTCGCAGAGATGGCTGCGCCCATATTGAGATGTATTTCCTTTGTATTTGTACTACGTTGGTCGTTTTAATGTCGATTTTAAATGCTCTTACACACTGTTTACATTGCTGCTTTAGTCCGGTCACCAATTTATGCATTGCACGGTGTTGCTGTGCGTGCAATACAATGTAAAGTTTTGTTTTCTAGCTGGTTTGTTAAATAGGCTAATGTAGCTAACAATAACACTAGCCTGCCCCTGGTGGCCCCTGGTGGCTCCTGGAGGCCCCTGGAGGCCCCTGAAGGCCCCTGAAGGCCCCTGGTGGCTCGAGAAAAACGCCACAGCACTTGTTGACATTGAAATAGGCAAAAATTGCAAAATATTATTGAAATGTAACACTTGCAATAACGGAATTACTTGAAATGTTAGTGTTTCTGTAGAAAAACATTATTATTTCAATTCAATTCAATTCAATTCAATTTTATTTGTATAGCGCCAATTCATAACAGAAGTTATCTCAGGACACTTTTCAAATAGAGCAGGTCTAGACCGAACTCTTTAACATTAATTACAGAGACCCAACTGTACCACCATGAGCAAGACCTTGGCGACAAGGGCAAGGAAAAACTGCCTGTTAAAAGGCAGAAACCTAGGACAGATCCTCCGGCTCTAGGTGGGTGGTCGTCTGTCTCGACCAGTTGGGGTGAGAGAGAGAGAGAGAGAGAGGCAGAGAGAGAGAGAGAGAGAGACAGACAGACAGACAGATGCACAGCAACAACAGTATTGGCAATGGCAGTCAAGCAGGACCATGGCAGGAGGCTCCACCAGGATCCATGAGAACCTGCGAGACGAGAAGCACAAGAACTCCGGGGAAGAAGTGAAGTTAGTAACATGCATTAATGGAACATGAATGAGTGCAGAAAGAGAGAGGAAGAGAGTAGCTCAGTGCACCATGGGAAATCCCCCGATAGTCTAGGCCTATAGCAGCATAATTAAGGGGATGGTTCAGGACTCACCTGATCCAGCCCTAACTATAAGCTTTATCAAAGAGGAATGTCTTAAGCCTACTCTTGAATGTGGTGAGGGTGTCTGCCTCCCGAACCACAACTGGAAGCTGGTTCCACAGGAGAGGAGCTTGGTAACTGAAGGCTCTGGCTCCTGTTCTACTTTTAGAGACTATAGGAACCACAAGTAGCCCAGCATTCAGAGAACGTAATGTTCTAGTGGGGTAATAGGGTACTATGAGCTCTTTAAGATATGAAGGGGCCTGACCATGAAGAGCTTTATAGGTGAGGAGGAGTATTTTAAATTCAATTCTACATTTTATAGGGAGCCAATGCAGAGTAGCTAATACAGGAGAGATGTGATCTCTTTTTCTAGTTCCTGTCAGTACTCGTGCTGCAGCGTTCTGAATTAATTGGAGCGTTTTAATGGACTTATTGGGGCAACCTGATAATAAAGAGTTGCAGTAATCCAGCCTTGAAGTAACAAATGCATGGATTAGTTTTTCTGCATCTGTCTGTGATAGGATGTGTCTAATTTTTCTAATATTATGTAAATGAAAGAAGGCGGTCCTAGAGGTCTGCTTTATGTGGGAGTTAAATGACAAATCCTGATCAAAGATAACTCCAAGATTCCTGACAGTTGTGCTAGAGGCCAAGTTAATGCCATCTAGAGTGACTATATCTTTAGACAGTGAGTCTCTAAGGTTTTTGGGGCCAAGAACAAGAATTTTTCTGAGTTTAACATCAGAAAATTGCAGGTCATCCAGGATTTTATGTCCGTAAGACATGTTTGTAATTTAGATAATTGATTAATTTCATTGGGTTTGATTGATAGATATAACTGCGTGTCATCTGCATAACAGTGAAAGTTAATGGAGTGATTCCTAATAATGTTGCCTAAAGGGAGCATATATAAAGTAAATAATATTGGTCCAAGTACAGAACCTTGTGGAACTCCATGACTAACTGTAGTATTATGGAGGATTCATCGTTAACATGTACAAACTGAGAACGATCTGATAAGTATGACTTAAACCAGGTTAGGGCAGTTCCTTTAATGCCAATTTGATGCTCAAGTCTCTGTAAAAGAATATCATGGTCAATGGTGTCAAATGCAGCACTAAGATCTAATAATACAAGTACAGAGACAAGTCCATTGTCAGAAGCAGTCAGAAGGTCATTATTAACTTTAACCAGAGCTGTCTCTGTGCTATGATGAACTCTAAATCCTGACTGAAAATCCTCAAATAAACTATTGTTATGTAGAAAGTCACACAACTCTTTGGCGACTACTTTCTCCAGAATCTTAGAGAGGAAGGGGAGGTTAGAAATCGGTCTATAGTTGGCTAAAACCCCTGGGTCCAAGAGTGGACTTTTTAAGAAGGGGTTTAATTACAGCTACTTTAAAGACTGTGGTACATATCCTGATAATAATGAAAGATTAATCATATCCAGTAAAGAAGTGCCAATTAAGGGAACAACTTCTTTAAGCAGCCTAGTTGGGATCGGGTCTAATAGACAGGTTGATGGCTTCGATGAAGAAATGATTGAAGTTAACTGATGAAGATCGATAGCAGAAAAACAGTCTAAATATATATCTAAGTTTACATTGACAGAAGTCCCTGAACTTGGAGAGCCACTGATAACTGTTGATGGCAGTTGGTGATTAATTTTCTCTCTAATAGTAATAATTTTATTATAGAAGAAGCTCATGAAGTCATTGCTACTTAAGTTTATGGGGATATGTGGCTCGATAGAGCTGTGGCTTTCTGTCAGCCTGGCTACAGTGCTGAAGAGGAACCTAGGGTTGTTCTTATTTTCTTCTATTAGTGCTGAGTAATAGGCTCCTCTGGCATTACGGAGGGCCTTTCTATAGGTTTTAAGATTATCTTGCCAAATTGAGCGATATTCTGATAATTTGGAAGAGCGCCATTTCCTTTCAGATTTCCTAGCTATTTGTTTTAACTGGCGGGTTTGGTGGTTTTACCAAGGTGCTAGTCTCCTATGTTTTAATAATTTCCTTTTTATAGGAGCGATAGAGTCTAATGTTGATCGTAGTGAGCCTGTAGCACTATCGACAAGATTATCAATTTGGGAGGGACTAAAGTTGTTATAGGACTCTGTTAAATTCAGACATGGCATTGAATTAAACACTGAAGGAATCTCCTCCTTAAATTTAGCTACAGCACTGTCAGATAGACATCTGCTGTAGGAGGTTTTGCCTAATGGCTTATAATCTAATAGTATGAATTCAAAAGTTATTAAATAATGGTCAGATAGGAAAGGATTATGTGGGAAGACTATTAAATGTTCAATATCAATGCCATATGATAGAACAAGGTCAAGAATGTGATTAAAACAATGAGTTGGTTTATTTACACTCTGACAGAAGCCAATTGAGTCTATTAATGATATAAATGCATTACTAAGGCTGTCATTGTCAACATCCACATGAATATTAAAATCACCTACAATAATTACTTTATCTGATTTAAGGACTAAACTTGATAAAAACTCAGATAATGAAATCAGAGTACGGTCCAGGAGCACGGTACACTATAACAAATAGAACTGGCTGCAGTGTTTTCCAGTTTGGGTGAGAAAGACTAAGAACAAGGCTTTCAAATGAATTATAATTTAGTTTAGGTTTAGGGTCCATTAAAACGCTCGAATCATATATGGCTGCCACTCCACCTCCTCGGCCTGTGCCTCCAGGAATGTGAGTATTAATATGATTGGGGGGTGGATTCATTTAGGCTAACATACTCCTCGTGGGACAACCAGGTCTCAGTAAGACATTCACATTGGGCTTGTTTTGAAGAGCCACAAACAATAACAAGACAGCTGCTGCACTGGTGGCGTCCATGTTCTTTCAGACTCGTAATGCCCAAAGACAATCTGGAACGTTATGAGTGGTACAAGCCAGGCAATTACGTCACGTTCTCGCGGCAGAGCAACTCAGGTGGGAGATTTACGAGAGAAATGGAAAGCACCATAAGGATGGGGCAGTGAAGTCTGTCTGTACAGCTTAAATTGTGGTTGGTTGTTAGAGTTGTTCTGGGTCAGTGTTGAAGATACAGGTCAAAGGTCCGTACTGGAGATACAGGTTAGAAGTCAATACAATAGATACAGATCAGATGTCAGTAGACACAGGTCAGAGGTTAGTTCTATTTGATTTATATCGTAATAACAATACTGATATTAATATTAACTGTACCTTATAAGTTTCTTAAGTTGTCTCTGGTAGAAAAAGATTCAGATCAGAAGTCTTTGTGTAGCTCTGGACTGTAGCACTGGCTTCCTACACACCAAAGAATTGATTTCAAAATATTATTATTGACTTCCAAAGCAGTGAAAGGTTCAGGGCTAATCTGTCAATAATAAATCCAATACTTGCTGCACAACTGATGACCTATGATGAGTTATTATAGTTTGTATTTTTCAATAGATGTTTTATTTATAGTCTGTTATAATCAATGTAATGTGGCAACTAATATGAAAAAAATTAAATATTTAGTTTGAAGATAAAGTGTAAAATATAATATCACAGAAGCCAAAAGACTAAAAGTTGAAATAAGATGTTTTTGTGTTGAAAGTTCAGATCTTAAAGTGTCAAAGCATACTGGAGCTCCTGTAGCTAATGTGTCCCTGTAGCTAAAAAATAACTCCAAATAAGATCAAACTGCTCATTAAGACAAGTGACATTTACTTAAATTCAGTCAGCTTCCATAGTGAGCACTAGATCATCAGTTCACACTCAAAACAAGTCCCACTATATTTTTAAATCTAAATATCAGATTATCTGACTGACTTAGAAATAGATTTTCTGCAGTGCAGCTGATGTTGTGGTTTGTTGTCCTCTCAGTCTACCAGGTGGAGGTGGATTCAGGGGAGGAGTCTGTCCTGCTGCCCTGCAAAACCACAGTTCACCTGCCTGAGGACGTCACAGTGGAGTGGACAGACAGTACCAACTGGATGGTCCATTTGTATCAGAACAGTTCTGATCAGCCTGAAGAACAGGACTGGTATTACAGAGACCGAACTGAAATGAAGAGAAACCTGCAGGAACCTGGAGACCTCAGTCTGACCCTGAAATACCCCACATACAGAGACACCTTCACCTGCACCGTCTACAGCAGGGAGAGAGAGATCCTGATGAAGAAACAAGTGAAGCTCAAGGTCAAAGGTCAGTGCTTTGAATATTGTATCATTATTAGCTCGTAGCATAGCATTAGCTATCTAGCTCGTAGCATAGCATTAGCTCTGTGGCTCGTAGCATAGCATTAGCTCTCATTAGCTCTCATAATGTTTTCAGCCGTATTAAATACAAACTGTGGTAAAGTCTCTGTCTTTGTCCTGCTGGATCTCAGGCTGCGTTTGACACAGTTGAACACAATATATTACTGGACAGATGGAAACTGTAGGACTCTCTGGCACAGCCACTAACTGAACTCCTATCAGCAGGAGTTCCCCCAAGGGTCCATTCTGGGTCCACTTCATTCACCATCTATATGCTCCCACTAGTTCCTATTGTGGAAAACAACCAAATATCCAATAATTATACAGACAACACACAGATTTACAATAGAAGCAGATGATGATGGATCCATACAGTCAGTGGAGCTCCAGTATGGAGGAAGAAAATAACATTAAAGTTCCTCTGGGAACCAGCCTTAACGAAGGGAATCAATAGGAAATAATTGATTGATTCAGTCTGATTAAATAATAAAAACTATTCATTTGGAATTCTGATCAATAATTAAATGAATAACTACCATCAATAACTAATGAGTTGAAGGGTTTAGAGCTGAGGACAGAAGAGGTCGATCTCATTCACTCTGCAACATTAAACAGGAGAGCACGTATATACACAGAATAATAAAGTTTATTAAAGAAATAATAAAACACAATATGAAAGCTGTGTGTGTGTGTGTGAGTGTGTGTGTGTGAGTGTGTGTGTGTGTGTGTGTGTGTGTGTGTGTGTGAGTGATCTTAAAGCTAACTGTCCGCTGTGTGAAGAGGGCGACCTGCCGTTTGTTTGCTGGTCAAAGCGTCATCAGGGGTATCAGGTTACGGTCACAGGAAGTGACCTGATGAGAGGTCACAGGAAGTGACCATCAGGATAAAAGTTGAGGTTAAATCCTCCAGAATGGTCCCAGTGGTCCCAACAGTAGAAATGATGTGAGTGAATGTGTTGCTACAGAAACAATGAGACATTTGTTTGATCAGTGATGTTGAACATGTGTTTGAAATGCTGTGTGGAACTAAGATTCATTCACTGTTACATTTGAGCAACAGACAGCAGTTCAACACTGAGATGAGACATTACTGTGAAGCAGCACATGGACAGAAAATCACAACATGTCCAACAGCTTGAAAACCTGCTTTTAGTTCCTATATTTCTGTCCCCCTGTTACCTGCTGCTCTCATCTGGTTCTGTCCTTCAGGGTTCTCTACAACTTTGTAATCAGTCAATAAAGTTATTACAAACTGCTGCTGCTGTCTGTACAGCTGATGTTGGGGTTTGTTGTTCTCTCAGTCTGTCAGGTGGAGGCGGAGGAGGGGGCGGAGTCTGTCCAACTGCCCTTCAAGACCACAGCTGACCTGCCTGATGATGCTGGAGTGGAGTGGAGACGCTATGAACCTGAACCCATAATAATAGTCCATGTGTATCAGAACAGTTCTGATCAGCCAGAAATACAGAACCAGGATTACAGAGACCGAACAGAGATGAAGGAAGACCTGCTGGAAACTGGAGACCTCAGTCTGACCCTGAAATCCCCCAAAGAGAGAGACACAGGAACATACCGCTGCATCGTCTACAACAAGGAGGGAAACATCCGGAGAGAGAAAATAGTGGAGCTCAAAGTCAGAGGTCAGTTCTGTAGATACAGGTCAGAGGTCAGTACTGTAGATACAGGTCAGAGGTCAGATGTCTCTGTGTCTTACTGTCCTCTGTCTCCTCTGCAGGGAGAACCAGGAACAGAAGCAGCTCCATTGATCCAACTCCTCTGATGGCTGATCAATCTGTTTGATTGGTCTGTTGATCAATCTTTGATTATTGATCTTGTTGAAGGGGCTCAAAGGAAGAGAATGTCAACGTTCAGCTTTCAGTGTTTCCTCTCTTCATCGTCTGAATGAACCTGCAGTCCATACTGTGATTGATTGATTGATTGATTGATTGATTGATTGATTGATTGATTGATTGATTGATTGATTGATTGATTGACTGATTGATTGATTGATTGATTGGTTGGTCTCATGTAGCTCTATAATGTTTCTCTGATGTTTGTGTATTCAGCTTCTATACATATATATCTGGCTGTGTCTCAGGAGGTAGAGCGGGTCGTCCACTGATCAGAAGGTTGCTGGTTCGATCCCCGGCTCCTCCCGCTGCATGTCGAAGTGTCCTTGAGCAAAATACTGAACCCCAAACTGCTCCTGATGCTGAATCACTGTATGAATGAGTGAATGAATGAATGTGTGAATGAGTGAATGAATGTGTGAATGAATGAATGTGTGAATGAGTGAGTGAATGAATGAATGTGTGAATGAGTGAATGAGTGAATGTGGCCTGCTGTGGAGACGCTGGCCTCACTCGTCTCCTCTCTCCTCCTCCTGAGTCAGGTTGGCGAGTGGTGATGTATCCTCAGTTCCCACATTACAATCTGTGACAATAACTTACAATGTGTAACTGAGTCCACTGGGACCAGTTTGCCTTAATCCAATATATATTTTAATCTTTTTGTATTACAGTTCTGCACAAAGGTGCTTTATAAATAAAGTTCTGATTGAATTCAGTCTGCTCTCAATAAAAAGTCTTCTTAGAAATCAATGAACCACTTTGTGTTTTGTCTTCAGACCAGTCAGAGATCCTAGTGAAGCCTGGAGATGATGCTCCTCTTCAGTGTCGGGTTCTGTTGGACTGGATCATCTCTTAATTTATGCCTTAATTATTTATATTTGTGTCCTGCACTGAGCCAAAATACTGTAAAATCACAGGAAATATCTGCCAGCAGCGTGTACAATGTGCAACCTACTGCTGATTTCTAAAGAATACACCTAACTTAAGTTGAAGTTTTTGATTTGATCCCCAGTTATTGTGCTAATATTAAGACTCAGGATTGTTTTATTTGGGATCTATTCTGCCCTCTAAACTTATAAATGTTTTATCTTGTGACAGAATTCAGTGTCGCTCTAACTTAAAGATTATACAACCATAAACTGTTACAATGCACACCCTGTAGCTAGGTCATCATTTATGTAACTTCAACTTGTAACAGCAATTTTAACATTTTATAACCGAGATTTGATTGATTATCATTTATTTATAAAACAAGAATCTTATTCTAAGAACAAGTTTCCATAAATGTGACAATTTAAACACATTTAATTGGTTAAACATCTAAAAATTATATTTGAGGATTGCTTTATTCTCAATGACTCTTCAGTTGCAAACCATCAGAAATACAGAATATGTATTATATATAATATATATGTGATAAATGAGTCTGTAGTTACTGCACTACCTATATATCTGTTTATATCTGTTTATATCGGTCTATATCTGTTTATATCGGTTTATATCTGTTTATATCGGTTTATGTTGATACAAAGACATTTACATTCTGTATGGTGAGGTAGAAATTACAGACAAAAATATATAAAATACTACACATTATTCATTCAATTAAAATTATTTATTTATTTATTTTTATTTATTAATATTAATATGTTTTTAATAATAAAAATAAATACAGATTAATCATGTTATTCTTTATATATTGGTGTCAATCAATAATAAAAATAAATGTGTTTTTATTTCTATAATTTCTGTCAGAGACACAAAAACTTTCGGTCACTTTTATTTTGAAAATCCGTAAAGAAGGTGGTATCAGACACACGTGTACTTCCTGTAGCTAGCACACTCTGTCCGTTACCTATAATCAATACAGTGTATTGATACCGCAGGAGGGAACCAGTAGAACCAATGTGTGTCGGTAAACTGGTTTAACTGGTTCCGGACGTTTCACCGCAGCAGCGTTTCCTGTTAGCGGAGAATGCTAAACGAAGCTAACACGGAGCTAATGACGTTAGCTTAGCTCGCTATCCGGAAGTAGACGCGGAGAGAGTCACCGGAGAGAGTCACCGGAGAGAGTCACCGGAGAGAGAGAGTCACCGGAGAGAGAGAGTCACCGGAGAGAGAGAGTCACCGGAGAGAGAGAGTCACCGGAGAGTGTCACCGGAGAGAGAGAGTCACCGGAGAGAGTGTTACCGGAGAGAGAGAGTTACCGGAGAGAGAGAGTTACCGGAGAGAGAGAGAGTCACCGGAGAGAGTCACCGGAGAGAGAGAGAGTCACCGGAGAGAGAGAGTCACCGGAGAGAGAGAGTTACCGGAGAGAGAGAGAGTCACCGGAGAGAGTCACCGGAGAGAGAGAGTTACCGGAGAGAGAGAGTCACCGGAGAGAGAGAGTCACCGGAGAGAGAGAGTTACCGGAGAGAGAGAGAGTCACCGGAGAGTGTCACCGGAGAGAGAGAGTTACCGGAGAGAGAGAGAGTCACCGGAGAGAGAGTGTTACCGGGGAGAGAGAGTCACCGGAGAGAGAGAGTTACCGGAGAGAGAGAGAGTCACCGGGGAGAGAGTGTTACCGGAGAGTGTGTTACCGGAGAGTGTGTTACCGGAGAGTGTGTTACCGGAGAGAGTTACCGGGGAGCTGTAGGTTATCGAACATGAACTCGATCCAGATGTTGAGGTGTTCGGTGAACCGGAGGCTGACGGTGGCCGCTGAGGAAACTCTGCAGCTGTTCGAGAGGACGATAACGGAGTACGAGCAGGAAGTGTTCCGGTTAACGGCGGAGAACGAGCGACTGCAGCAGCTGCTGGACGCAGGTCACTGAACTCATCACTACATAACCTCCGGTTGTCCTCCCGTTTACTGTGCTCCGGTTATATATTATATATATATTATATGCTTGTACTCCGTAAACAGAGTATTAGGGCCACACTAAGAGGGAAAATAAATTAATACATTTTTGGAAATTACCAGAATAAAGTCGTAATAATAAAGAATAATGTAGTCTGTGTGGTTCTTTCTTCCAAGTAGAAACAGTCGTTAGTACAATCGTTCCAAAGTCCTGATAATAATAATAATAATAATAATAATAATTTGATTAAGTATTTCCTTATTTGTGAAACCGATACCAAAGTATAACTTCACAAGATGCTCAACATTCCTCATTTTAACGCAGCAGGAAGATAAAATTACGACTTTATTCTCACAATGTTACGACTTTATTCTCGTAATTTCCCCCAAAAAATAATATCTGGCCCTAACACTCAAATAAAACTATAATATAACTTCTTATCTCATAATCTAGACTTTGTATAATAACTTTTATCTTCAATTGAACATTTTTTTACTATCAGAGTTTTTATTTTATGTTTCTGAACCCTGTGTCTGTATCATGTTGTCCTCACAGACGTCCGGCAGCCGTCCATGAATAAAGAAGTTGTTCCCTCCGAGCAGCAGGAGATGAACCCCTGTCTGGACCAGGAGGACTCACCAGAGCCACCGGACATTAAAGAGGAACCGGAGGAACCAGAGACTAATGACATTAAGTTCATATTCCCTGCGGTCCCTGTGAAGACTGAAGAAGATGAAGAGAAACCTCCTCCCTCGCTGCTTCGTCACAGCCAGGCGGAGCAGGAAACAGCAGCTGATGGAGAGGACCTCGGAGGACCACAACCAGCCGGGAACTTGGCTCCAGGTCAGGATTTACCAGCTGAGACTGATGATCGGAGGAGGAGCGGGAAACCTCCGTCGGGTTTAAAGCTTCAGAAAAACAACAGCGGATGTAAAGCTGTGAAGAAAACCTTCGGCTGCTCTGAGTGCGGGAAACAGCTGAGCAGGAACTCCTACCTGAAGACGCACATGAGGATCCACACCGGAGAGAAACCGTTCAGTTGCTCAGTTTGCGGTAAAGGATTCAGACAGAAGATAACAATGACGCACCACATGGTTCTCCACACTGGGGAGAAACCGTACGGCTGCACTGTGTGTGGAAAAAGCTTCACGTGGCAGTCGCAGCTCCGAACCCATCCGTGTGCGGGGCGCCGGTCCTCGCCACGTCCGACTGGACAGAAGGAGAACGCAGAGGAAACAGGAACCGGAGAGGACTGCGCTGCTCACGAGGAGACGTCGCCTGAGACTGACGACCGCCGGGAGCACACGAAACTGCAGCCAGGAGCGAAATCCTTCGGTTGCTCGGTTTGTGGGAAAAGTTACCACCGGAAGGACTCGCTAACGGCGCACATGATGCTTCACTCAGAGAGGAAATGTTTCAGCTGCTCCGTTTGTAAAAAGTCTTTCCACTGGAAGCTGGACGTGGAGCGGCACATGAAAATCCACACGGGGGAGAAACCCTTCTGTTGCTCCTTCTGCGACGCAAAATTCACACGCAGCTCGACTCTGAGGTCGCACCTGAGAGGTCACACGGGGAGAGAAACCGTTCACGTGCTCCGTGTGCGGCACAGGGTTCGCTCTGAGGAACACGCTGGCCCAGCACATGAGGACGCACACCGGGGAGAAACCGTTTGCTTGTCCACTTTGTGATAAAACCTTCACACAGAAGACACATCTGAGACAGCACTGGAGGACCCACACGGGGGAGAAACCCTTCAGTTGTGACGTCTGCGATAAATCCTTCACTTGGCTCTCGAGTTTGAAGAACCACAAGTGTGTCAGCGACAGCGTAAACGAAGCTGAGGGAACGCCATCGGCTCCAATGAGTTTGATAACTGTGACACTCAAAGACTAAACGAAGGCGCTCATCTGGATTCTGACAGACGACAACGGTGGAAGTTAAAATATTAAAGTTTCTGTCTTCCTGTGTGAAATCATTTACAGAGGGAGCAAACAACAAGATGCTAATAATTAATAAATTACTTGTAATAATTTAATTTAATATATTTAAATCCTTCCTTTAGCAGCAATACTTCCTCGTTCTGTTTGTTTGTCCCGCTCTGTCTGTCGGTCTGAATCCACGTCTGAGTGCAGCAGAAGTTCTTTTAACTCCAGTTTTATTTTTCTAATGAGAGAAGGACGATGTAAAGATTTTAATACGTTGATATTAAGCCAAATACTGAACGGTGATACCACATTTTACCACTAGGTGTCCCAGTTGAACACAAATTCCTGCGAATGTTTCACAATAAAAGTCTTGTTAAGACATTAAGGGCTTCTGTCTGCTGGAACTTTACAGAGCTTTACTGTACTGTACTAGCTTGCTAGCTACCTCGCTAACACCAGGATCCTGGAAAACCTGGAAGTTTAGAAACCAGTTTTCCAGTCACCTGAAAATGATTAAAATGACCAAAGATCCTGGAAATAATCTCTGTTGTCCTGGAAAAATGCATTAATGTATCAGACTGCGGTCACACAGTGAAGTTAATGTGTCGTTAAAGCTTTCACTGTCTACAAGATGAGTTTCTGTAAAATAAGTTTTATTGTTTTATGAAGAAGAGAAAACCGAATCAGCGTAACAGCTGCCAGCAGATAAATAAACATTCATTTGTAACCTGACAGTAAAGGTTGTGTGACGGTTGTCAGTCGGTTGTGTTCAGGGTTTATTGTGTATGATGTATTTCACACACTGGTTATCAGCTGCAGGTGGAGACGCACTCATTTCCCATAATGCCTGCTGCTGCTGGAGGTTGTTGGTGTTTTAATGTGACGGGTTCTCTGACGTCGGTTCAGTCGTATGAAATGAATCTGCTTTAATCTCCGTGTTGTTTTCTGGGAGATTCACTGCTTTAATATAGTGTTTTATTTATGGGTTATTTATGTCGTCTGTTCGGCACTGTGGGAAATATTTGTTGATGAAATTAGAAATGAAATGACTTCCTCTAAATAAAAGAATTGATTTCTCATTGAATGGATCTTTTTTATTCTGTTAAAGTCTTTAGACTGAATCTGATTTCTGTCTTTATCCTGTTTAATGACTTTATTGTTGCTGACAGTTAAACGTGATGTAAACGTAACACAACATTAAATACAATAAAAGTCCGTCTGTGTGAGACAACGACTGGAATCAATATGATAATTGATACAGGAGCTCGAGGCTGATTTCAACCCTGCAGAGCTTCCTGAGTCTCTCTTCCACCTCACACTCATTTTAATGTGTGATTGAAACTATTGGAAGAGTTTCCAGTTCAAACAGCTGATCGATCAATAATCAGAGAATCAGTCAGAAAGAAGAATATTAAAATACAGAGAATGGATCAATATATCAGGAACACTCATCTCTGATCAATATTCACAGGAAATAATCAAACTTCCTGATGATATATATATTATTATTATTATTATTATATATTATTATTATATTATTATTATTATTATATATTATTATTATTATATATTATTATTATATTATTATTATTATATAATATTATTATTATTATATATTATTATTATATTATTATTATTATTATTATTATTATTATATATTATTATTATTATATATTATTATTATATTATTATTATTATTATATATTATTATTATATATTATTATTATTATATATTATTATTATATATTATTATTATTATATATTATTATTATATTATTATTATTATTATATATTATTATTATATATTATTATTATTATATATTATTATTATATTATTATATATTATTATTATATATTATTATTATATATTATTATTATTATTATTATATATTATTATTATATTATTATTATTATTATATATTATTATTATTATATATTATTATTATATATTATTATTATATTATTATTATTATATATTATTATTATATATTATTATTATTATATATTATTATATATATATATATATACAGTATTTATTTATGTGTTTGCTTGTTTATTCTGCCTGACTGACAACAAATGATCATACAGTGTGAATTATGTATTATTGATACCCAATCGGCTCTTTATGATCAATATTGACTTCAGTTATTTTTCTCCCACAATGCACCGCACTGTTGTTGTCTGTCCAACATGGCGGCGACTGGCTGCGTCTTCCACAGAACCCTGACCCGCTCCGGTACCAGCAAGGTCTGACCCGCCTCACTGTCAGCTCTGACCTCCCGATGATTGATTATCGATTTATCGGCGTTGTATCCGGAAGCTGATTGAGCCCGCCGCGCTGCGCCGCCAACCAGACTCCATTCAAATATCAGCCGATTTAACGTCGCTTTGTTTATCAGCTCCAGCGCTCAACCTGCTGAATAAAACCCAAAGTGTTCGCTCAATAAGAACTTTGGACACATTTTTAAACAATCTGTTCGCTGCAAAGAACTAATAAATCAATAATAAATCTCTGGATATTACAATGGATCGATCGTTCCTCCTCAATCTATCCGATGTGACTCGTTTAAAAAAACACAGGATGTTCTATTGAGGAGTCGCCGTTGAGTGGATTCTGGTTGAGCCGAATCTGATATAAAACCGTAGAAAGTAGTTCGGCGGTGTTATCGATTAGTTTCTGTCCGCCGCTAATTCCAATTAACTTAAATCATCAGATATTTGAATGGAGTTTGGTTGAAGTGAGAGAGAGTTAACCTGTCAGTGCTGATACTTCACAGCCTGATTCAATATATTCAATTATTAATCCATTGTATCAATGTTTATGTTATTTTTGCCAATGTTTACATGATTGTTTATTGTTGTTTGTTGTTGTAAACCAAACCTTCACGTTGTTTACATTCATTTAACTTCTGGGTAATTTTCCATTTTATCCTTTATTTTATATATTATTGTTATTTTATAAGATATTGTTGTTATTTTATAAGATATTGTTGTTATTTTATAAGATATTGTTGTTATTTTATAAGATATTATTGTTATTTTATAAGATATTGTTGTTATTTTATAAGATATTGTTCATTTTATAAGATATTATTGTTATTTTATATGATTTTATTGTTACTTTATATTTTTATATTCTCTGTTGTTCTTCACGGTTTTGTTGTTTATATTTTGTGCTTTTATTGTGAAGAACCTTTACACTGAAACTGCTGCTGTTGTTTCCTGTTGTTGTGTTTGTTTACAATACAAACATTTATACTGTTGGACGATCCAACAGGAAGCAAACTCATCAGTCAGCAGGTTTATTTCCTGTTGTTGTTTTTGTTGTTGTTGTGTGTTTGTCCCGTAGACGTCCTCGTCCTCTCCCGCCGTCTGCAGGGACTTCCTGTCTGTGGTCGACCTGCAGCGATACAGCAGAGACCTCGGATCATCAGTGTACTTCCAGGCGGTCCTCAGCGGTGAGACACAAACAAACAAACAAACAAACAAACAAACAGGTTGCTCAGGCTGTCCTCAGCGGTGAGACACAAACAAACAAACAAACAAACAAACAAACAAACAGGTTGCTCAGGCTGTCCTCAACGGTGAGACACAAACAAACAAACAAACAGGTTGATGTTTACTGGTTTATATAGATGTTTACTGGTTTGTGTCGATGTTTACTGGTTTGTGTCGATGTTTACTGATTTATGTTGATGTTTACTGGTTTATGTTTACTGGTTTGTGTTGATGTTTACTGGTCTGTGTGGATGTTTACTGGTCTGTGTCGATGTTTACTGGTTTATGTTGATGTTTACTGGTTTATGTTGATGTTTACTGGTTTGTGTTGATGTTTACTGGTTTATGTTTACTGGTTTGTGTTGATGTTTACTGGTTTATGTTGATGTTTACTGGTTTATGTTTACTGGTTTGTGTCGATGTTTACTGGTTTGTGTTTACTGGTTTATGTTTACTGGTTTGTGTTGATGTCTCCAGGTGACGACCTGTATGACGTCACACTGAGCGACGGGGACTGCAGGCTTCGTGTGACTCTGGATCCTGGTCTGAACCGGCTCGTGGAGAGAAACGTCCTGCAGCCTGGCTCAATGTTACGCAACACCGCCTTCACCCCCGCCATGGCCGCTCAGCTCCCAGAATGCCCCGGGCCTGCGGGAGAGAGAGACAGGTAAGTGAGGACGACAGACGGTGTCGCTGTGACGTTGTCGACCCGGTTTAACGATGTTGCTCCTGCAGCTACCGACTGCTGAGTGCGGAGGTCACAAGAGGAGCTCCAGGTGAGGAGGAGGAGGGAGGCAGGAGGGTCGAAGCAGACCTGAACCCTCTGCCCTGGTTTGGATCATCAGAACCTGCAGGTCAGAGATTATTGATTATTAACCCAAACCAGAGATAGGGACTGATTGATTGATTGATTGATTGACTGACTGATTGATTGATTGACTGATTGATTGATTGATTGATTGATGGATCCCTCAGGTCCTCTGGTTCCCCTCAGAGCCAGTCGGATGGTGTTTCTCCCTCTATGGAACAATGTGGACTACAGTGGGGAGGTGTGGAGGGAAACTCCGCCCACTGACGAAGAGGAGGAGGGTGGAGACGAAGAGGAGGAGGAAGGTAGAGATACTGTCAGTGTGAAATATGACTTTATTATTATTATTATTATTATTATTATAGGTATCAATAAATGTAGCAGAGTGATGTTATTACTTCATATATTCACAATAAATAAGTCAAATTGGCAAATAAATAAAAAGGGAAAGTCGTAAGTACATTAAAAAACCTAATTAATGTCTGAAATTAATTTATTTAAATTTTATAATAAGTTATTAAAGGTGAATATTTGAATTGTGATTGTGATTTAAAATAAGTGTGTGTGTGTGTGTGTGTGTGTGTGTGTG